TTGATGCTAGCCATTTTGACTGAAACAAGATGGAATCACAAAGATATTTTAATTTGCATTCCCCTAATAAGCCACAGACATTTTAAAACCAGAATGTCCCCTGCACAACATATGAGAGCTCAAGGAACACACTCTGAAGAACTTTCTGAAAATATGTGAAAGCAAAAGGCCTCTGCACTGTAAGTGGATAAAGGAGACTTGTCCATTATTAACACACACCAAAACCTTCTTCAGTAGGAAGTGGCCAACTAAATAAAGCTCTTTTTATTTGAAAAAATAGGTAGTAGAGTGATTTTTTTAAAATAGATATTTCTATTGTAAGAGAGAGGTTCCTAATAATTCTGTGCAAATACAATTGTTTAAAGATTCTTGAGAAATCTCTTCATAAGCTGAGAACCTTATGACAAAGGATGTTAGATTTTTAGAATCCAAAAACCCAAACTCATATGCAACCTGAACTAGTTTACAGTGAATTTCACTTTAAATGTATTAAAGCTCTTATAACTTGGCAGACTTCTTTCCCATCTGCTCTCTCTTGTTCTCGCAGTAATCCAACGAGGTTTGCAAAAGTAAACCTACCAGTAACAACACATTGCATTTATTTAGTTCTTTATGGGTTTCAAACTTGCTTTCTCATCTATTTTCTCTTTAAATCTATCCAAAGGTTGGCAAGAAAATATTATTAACCTTGGTTCAGTTTCAGAAAATATGATTAAGCACGAAGCCAATGATGGGATTGAAGTATATACGAACTTTGATCCTTGTCCAAGGATCATAGCAGCGGTAGTAATAACAGCACACAGCTACTGTTGTTTGAATCTGTGTGAGACATCCTAAGTGTTTTACAGACCAGATTGTTCTGAACACATCTCTCGGTGCTTTATTTTCATGACGTGCACGTGCTGGCTGAAGTCCCAAGGGTTAACTGTCTATTGATCAATCACATCTGTCTAGTTCTGTCTGTAAGACAAAAACTTTCTAGCTTTCCTTAATCTCACTGTCCCGCACTCCAACCCAGTATAAATTTTATGAACAAAGTCCAATTGATTTTACAAAAGAAATGAATTTGTATCTTTTACTTTACCAAATTATGATATAGCCCATTGAAGTCAGTGTCTTTCTTATCCCATTATGCAGAATAGAAAAGCTGAGATTCTGGGGTTCAATGATTTGTGCAAATTCCTAGGGCCAGTAGGTAGTGGGGCTTGGATTTGAACATAAATCCATTCAGACGTCAAACCTGTCTTACCTGTCTCCAGAGCCCAAGTTCTTGGTTATAACTACTATTTGTTAAAGATGTACCAGGTTCCAAACTCTGTGTTATGCTCTACCTTCATGATTTCGTTTATCTCCTCAACACAACTCTGTTATGCTAGTGCTTCAGGTGGCATATTGTTATTCCACTGTGACCCAGAGAGGGCATGGAACTTGCCCACCATGGACTGCTCATGACCCCAGCAGTTTGATTCCAAACTCTTAGTTATTACTCAGTGTGTTAAATTGGTCCCAAAATTGGGGTTCAGAAAATTTAAAGACTCACCAAGGAACACAAATCAGGGGAGCAGAGGGCCAGGGCTAAGACCCTACTCCTCACATTATATTATAACGAGCATGTGGAGATGTTGGCCTCCTCTGTGGACCAGTCATACCCTCCCCTCCACCTCTGACTTCACCCTAACCTTGCACACATTGTTTCCATTCCACCTAGTGATTTAGCTACCCCAGTGTCTCCCCCAGTGCTGAGTCTACACCTCCTCCATGGCTACTGCTGCCTGGGCGGGGAAGGCGTCCTCCACCTCCTCACTCCCAGACGGACACCAGTCCTGATCTCCTAGGGATCTGCTGTCTGCTGCAGTTTAGGCAGACAGATGACTTTATAGTCTGGGAACCGTTATGACTTCCCACCTTTTGAAAACAGACATTTCAAGCTAATAGAAACCAGTCTCAAACAAATCCTCACCATCCCCCTTTCTGATAAATTTTACTCTACTAGCTGTCATGCATCTCTTCCAGATATTTTAAATTAAGATTGAGAAAGCTGTGTTTTTACTCAATTGAATCACAGCCTTTGGCTGATATTTTTTGGCCCTTCATACACACCTTAAATTGATCTGCTAATTGCAGATACTTTCAGAGATTAGAGCGTGTGTTTTTATTGCAGAAACCCTACTAGTGCGTCTTTGTGGTCAAAGATTTAATAGTATCTTTTTTACCGACCCCAGGTTAAATGTTGGGTTGGTTCAAAAATATGACTTTAACTCAAGAATTTGCAGGAGTGAAAATATTGTGTATGAGGAAATAGGGGCAGGATAGATCCAATAGCTCAGTTTTTATTCTTGGACTATTTTGAAATCTTTAGTTGTGCATGATAAAATTATTTATTAGGAGATGTCAAATGACTGAGGAATTTTAAAACATCAAAACACAGCTTTGTGTGGTTGTAATGCCACTGTTTACTGAGGCTCTTCCTCTGAGATCATCCAGTTTCTTCAGTTATGACTCGTTTGGAGTCTTGTGCCTGAGGATATGTCAAAAGGGGTGGCTGTATCCCTCAGTCATGGCAACCATGGCTGAGGTGGCCGTGAGGCAGAAAGAGCCCAATAGCAGCACACGGAGGGGTGAGTGGGGGCCAATCTTCACTCAAGCAGGGGTAAATGTCACCTGGGATATGAGTTGTTTTGTACCAGGATCCCTGCAAGCCCAGGTCCGAGGACATTGCTACAGGCTTAGATGTCTAGAAAGACTGGACACACTACAGGAAAAGAGAGGATGGAAATGCCAGCAGGGAAAAATAAGTGCCCTGCATATAGCCTCGGCATCCCCTTTGCTACATCAGAGTGACAGCAAAGGAGAAGCAGGAGCTCAGCACAGACACTAGGAGCCCAGAGCCAGGTGTGTGAGGACCACTGACTCCAAAAGAGATGCACACAGGATGTCAAAGCCAGAACATTCTCTTCCTGCTGTACATTCTGGATGTCAAAGCCAGAACATTCTCTTCCAGATAGGCTCAGGCACAAGCGAGGAACTGAGGCTGTGCCTATGTTTGGAGGTGAGGGCTGTAGTTGAGGAAGCAAGAGCTGAAGGAACAACTTCGACTTCCAACTGCAGAGTCAGAAAGGAGCTGAAAACAAGGAAAGCAAAGTACAAAAGTTGTACAGCATTGTACAGAGTGACAGAAAAGTAGCTGAAAAAATTTCCCTTGGACCTATCACTTCACTGTAATTTGTTACATCTTTTATCTGATTGCATTTTATGTGTATATATATATATATATATATATATATATATATGTCAAAGAAAGAAATGCTACTAACTTATACCTTTCAGGCATATGGAGTTACCTAAAGGACATGTTTGTGAGGGCACTTTTTCTAATAACTTTTAATGTTTTGTCATCTACACATCAGATAGAGATTTTTCTTAAACTTATTTGTTCATTTTCTTTCACAATGCTTCTACATGAGGATGCCCAGAATTCTCTCTGGAATGGGTAAATATTATCTCTTCTGAGAAACTGATTTGTTTTCATTCCACAGATTGAGACACTCATAAACGTTTTCTGTCTTTTTTCACTTGCTACTAGAAAGCTTGGAACTAAGTCCACTCCTAGTAAAAAAACAAGCTTCTCATAGCATATTTTTGAGGTACTATTCCCATTTCTTGCATCATCTTTCCGTTGTTTTCCTTTGAGTCTGTCATTTTATTGTAATTTGTGGCATTTTTTTGAATTTTATTTTATTTTATTTTATGGTGTATGTGTTGCTTAAACTGAACAAGAAATATATCAGTGTGTGTTTCCCAGTGCTAAAAGATGATTTCTACCTTACAGACTTTAAATTGTATAATTATGTCGTTAGTTGCGTTAGCAAATGCCCTTTCATGAGTAAAGAAATGGTTTCCATTAGTCCCTTAAACCATCTCAAATTTCAAATTAAGGCCCAAGAAAAAATACTTCATTTGGTTAGTAAGTGAACTCAGTGTCCCATATTTGTTTAAAATATTTGCTTTGGATTTTATAAGAATTCAACACTAAGAGAGATTTATAAATGGTGGAGAGAAGTTTAAATTCTATCAGTCAAATACCATGCTGCAGCCAGCCTTCATTAGTTACTCCCTGTGAGATCATGGAGTTTTCCAGGACGCCCCCTCAGTCTTACAAGACAAAATTTGTAAATGAGCATTGCAATTGAAGAAGTCTCCGGGAATCCTCCTGAAGAGTGAAGGACAACATGCAGGCTACCAAGCCTACTTTCCAGACTGTTCTAACAACACAGGAACCCTGAGTAATCTGACTATGCAGCACCTATGGCGCTGGCCATCTCCACCCTATCTCTCCTGCACTATCCATTATGACTTCTATTTCTGCCTTGCGAGCTCTTTTTGTGCCAACTAAAGCAGTGTGTATATTTCTGCTTTCTTATCTTTGCACTTCCTATTCCCTACCTAGACCCTAACGGCCTCTAACCAGTTCCTCTCCATCTGACACTGACCTCAATTTCTACCTTTTTTGTGAAGCCCTTTGCAGTACATCTACCCCTGAATCTCTCTGCTATGAACTTCATAGCTTCTACTGCCCCCCCTCTTATCCTTGCCCCCACCACATGACTGGCCACTGTCATTTATCATGTCACACATAAGGCACATTTTTGCAACTTTACACTAAACCTCCCTAAAACTACGACTGGCGAATCATTGGTTCAATAAATATCCATTGGGAGATAAACAAGTGAATGATGCTCATGTCCACTTTTCAGGAACACAACAGTGCGTAGTATAATCTGGCTCTTTAAATATTTGCCATTGATGATAATAGTACAGATCTTACTCTCCCTCCAAGCCCCACTGCACCTAATGCCCTCAAACTTTCCTATCACAGTAGCTAAAAGCACTGTTTTAATTTTATCTTTTAACAAAATAAGTGGGCTCTATTATTATATAGTAATATAGTATTATTGACTATATTACTTATATAATTGACTTATTATTTTTTTCTCCCTTAGATTTTGAAAAAATCCTGCATCGAAATTCTAGCTGCTGAGCCATCCACCATATGTGCAGGAGGTGAGTTGAAATGAGGCGCTAATTGCTTTCATACAATTGATGATATTCTGTGTTCAAATCACAGGTTTCCTTCACTGCAGGGGGAATGGGAGAGGCAGGGCAGGAAGAGACTGGATGGGAAAAGGAGTAGAAATTGCTAACTAAATTTGCTTCTAGGTAAAAAAAAGAAAGAAGCAATGTCAGTTGTTTGAAAGTTTGAAAATGTCTGTCCAACTTGTCTCCTTTTATGGGACCTAATTACAAAGAAATTTTCGAAATACTGGATTCTCATACCAATACTAAAGAGTGATCACCACCACTACCCTGCCTCTGGACAGAAGTCGAGTCACGCTACATTTTCACAAGAAACCTACAGATAACAGATGATCGCCATGGCCACAGACTACCCCATAGGCCTGCAGTGTGGTTGGTGTTGGCCTTTCTCCATAATTAATATGTTTTTCCTAATTGTTCAGTCTACCAACCTCATAAAGTCATGGCTTACAACTTCAATTGTCCTACTAAAGACCCACTATAATTTTGCCATTAATACACAAATTCTCCACTTATACAAAGAAGAAGGCTTCTGTGAGTCATAATATTTTATCTGTGATAAAAAGAGGGCTTTCATTCCTGTTTTATATTGTAATGAGCTGTCTAAAACTTCAGTCATGCTGCTCTGTTCAGATAATTCTACAGATTTCCTGTTATTTTTCTTTCATTCATGTAAAATGTATTTTTTAAACAGCTACTGCACACCAGGTACTGTGCTGGGTGCTGGAGCTAGAAGAAAGATAAATTTTTTGGGTGAGTCCTTATGGCCCCTGGAACTAAAATCTTTCCCTGTTGAGAGTCCCTGTTGATATCACCTTTCTAGCCCCCAAAATACCAAGGGCCAGTCATTTGTTACCAGCAAAAAAGATCTCATGCAACCCTAATACATATCATGCCATCCTGATAAGATAAGATTACATAAGGTAAGATTACATAGATACATACATGCATACAAAATACATATATATGTACAAACAGACATACATACATACTTACATATAAAATTATCAAAGCATTTGATGATTATTCAGAAATATGTGTTCATTTCCTCACCAAAATCAACCAAAAACTATTACCTCCTGATGTTTAAATAAATAGTTTTCTGGCAATACAGACATTTATAGGGGCAAATGTGTTCACCACAGGGATTGATCCAGGGAATCTCTTTTAGAAAAAATAATTCAAATCTTTACAAATTTGACAGAAACTTATGAGCGTATGAGCACAGTGCCAGAGCCTTATAAGGGATCTGTGCATTGAGAAGTTTCAATTAGGCTTCATTTGTTTCAGAGTAAATCGCCTCAGGGCTTTGTGTGCTTCTGGTAGAGTAAATGGGTGGGTTATTTAGATTAATTTAATCTTGTATACTCTGTGTGTGTGTGTGTGTGTGTGTGTGTGTGCGTGTGTGTGTGTGAACTTTATAGTTCCCTAATATTAAAACAATTAGAAAACAAGAAGTCCACTGTTGGGTGATTGTCCTATTCATTCAGAAAACCCAGACATTCTGTTTAGTGATCCTGCCAGATGTGTTGTACTTCTGTAATGCATCAGAAAGTATGAGGACGATGAACACAATTTCTAATTCACCAGCACAATCACTTCTCTTTCTTTATGCTTCTTGAAGACACAAAAGGAATGTTATTTCTTTCTACTCTGCTTAGCAGAGTGTCTGGTGCTTAACAGGTTGTCAAAAAACATTGAATGCCCTGATTCCTGTATTCCTTCAAAATGGCGACTTTGATGTTTTCTTTTTGACTCTTGTTAATTCCTCCCACTTAACCATATAGAGTTAATATACCTTTGTGCTGCCTAATTAAAATACAACACCATTAAAAATTAGTAACCAGGGGCTGGGGATATAGCTCAGCGGCAAAAGCGCCTGCCTGGCAAGCGCAAGATCATGAGTTCGGTTCCCGGTACCGGAGAAAAAAACAAAAAAAAGAAAAAGAAAAAGAAAAAAAAATTAGTAACCAAAGATAGAACAAGACCAAAATAAAAATTTTAACCACTTACACAGAAGAAAGATGTCTTCCTCAGTAATTCTAGACTCAGCAAGTAAACCAAAATCTCCTTCACACACCATGAAGTTACTCAAGACAATAAAAAGTCTAATATGTAAAATTAACAAATGTGACACAGAAATGTCAAAACTTACAAGAGCTAATCCTAGCAAATTCAGATTCTTAATATATTTATTAAAAGAAAACTAAAAATAAATGAAATAAAAATTAATGATAGTTTTCCAAATCCTAAGGAATGTACAAGACAAAGAAGGTAAAATGCATTAATAATTTTAAACAAATTCAAGCAGTTCAAAAGATAAAATATTCCAAGAGCTGTTTCTTTAGTAGAACCAATAAAATAGACAAATTTCTGATAAATCCGACCTACTATCTTTCTTTTGATATTTTAACAATCTCTGCTGTATATGTAATATCATGTATTTGTAGACAAACGATGTCTCAAAACAAAGTATCCAATGATATTTCCCTTTTTTTTAATGAAGAAACAAAACATAATGAAGAATGTTTCTCCTTTTTATGAAGAAACAGGACACAAGGATCGAAGCTAGTCAGAGGTTTTGAAAAAGGCAAGCTCTTCCTTACATGAGAATCTTAAGGCTTATACCTGATTACAGAATCACTTTACTAAGAAGAAAGTGAAATGTACAAAGGCAGCCTTCCATCAGAAGCCCTTCCGCAGACTTCCCTCAGGTCTGTTTTTGATAATTCTCTGGAGTAAGCATGGCCCTCATGAAGTGCTAGAGCCCATGTCCTTGTCTATGGCTGTGAGCTCCAATGGGACAGGGTGAGCCATGATCTCTATGTTTTTCACTAGGCTACTGGAGGATCTAAGGCCTACTGGGAATTTAAATAAAAGTGCTTCCAAAAGCATAAACCATTGTACAAATGAAGGTGGCATTTTTGTCATCAGCATTGCTTTAATGAGGTTTAAAGGTCAGTGTTGAATCATGAGGCCAGTAATGTCATATCTGGATAAGAAACACATGCATGCATCTCCCCTGAAAAAAGTTCAGGGAGGACACTGATAGAATGTGGAGACTCTGCAAAATAATTAATTAACTCAATATGTGTTTAGGGAGAAAGCAAATAAGGAAACAACTCTTCCTGTTTCTACAGTGTAATGGTCAGACCAAGCTTTAGATAGATCTGGGAAGAAGGCAGAGTTCTTTTTCATCAAAAACCTTGTCTCTGAGACCCATCCCCTCACTCTGCGAGTTATTTCCCTTCTTTGGCCCCAGAGCACCCTAGCTAGAGGGCCCCACCTATGCCTGTCCTGCTGAAGGCATCAAGGCTGATTGCATTCCCCCAATCCACTGACCTCAGCTGGCTCTCACCCCACCTCTCCACTGGCAATGGTTCTGAGAGCAGAGGCAATGAGATAATGCACTGGGTGGACAGCAAAACTGAAACCCAACACAAGTCTTTGTATATGTTAGGTTGCAAATAAGGTGAAATTTAATGGGACAAATACACAGTGTTGAATTTGGTCTCAAACAGCCAGTTTCACATACAAGAGGATTTAGAGAAACTTGACTTAGGAACAGTTTGTGCAGGGAGAAGAAGAAACACAATGATAATCATGGCTGTCTTAGTAGCCAGCAAGAATGCTTCCCACAAAAAATAGCTGGTACACTCTCAGGGTGCATCGATAGCCATCTAGGTGCAAGTCAAGAGAGGTAATAGTCCTACTAGTCCGTGTTCAGACCATAGTTTAAAGTCCCACGTTCTAAGAATTGAGGTGACAGAGGTATGTCCATCGGAGAAAAAGTGAAGAATCTGGAAACCACATTAGTAATTCATTCAGAGATACTGTATTTCCCTTCCTTTCTATCTCTCCCTTTCATCATTTCTTCTTTTCTTTCCTTCCTTCATTCTTTCCATCCTTCATTTGCTTTCTTGTTTTTCTCTTGTCTTTCTCCTTCTTTCCTTTTCCTTTTCTTTCTTTTTTCTTCCTTTCTCCCTTCCCATAAATTATTAGTATCAACTATGTACCACACCATGTGAAAACCCTGAGCACGGAAATTCATAGGGCTTGCTCCCCACCTCCTGTGAAACTCAGCCTGCTCTGCAAGTCTCGTTTGAATAAATTACAAAACTATGCATTGAGCACTACAACAAAGACCTGCTCACGAGCAGTGGGAGCAGTGATGTGATGCATGCAGAAGAGAAATGACTAGAATAGCTAGTGATTTAGATAAAGAGTGGAGATAATCACAAACATGCCTTCAGGTGTTTGGTGTATTCTCATAGAAAAAGAAATTATGAGGCATATACTGTATAGCTTCAGAAGACTGCTACAGAGAATTTCAGTGAGGTAGATTTTGGCTTATCATAATCAACTAAAGCTTTCTGACAACCGAGAGGATGGCCCGAGGTCTCCACTCCTAGAAATTATGTGAGCAATGGTAGAATGGCAATTTGTAACCAGATGGTATTGGAGAAAACCTCCTCTGTGTCTCTTTTAACAATCTGAAGTGTCCAAAGACTTCATTCAGTTTGGACTAAGGTATTAATGGCTGATTATTTTTCAGTGATTGAAGAAACAAGTATTCCTGAAACTATTTTTCATTTTAAGAGAAAGTTCTACTGGAGAAAAACAGTGCAGAGCATATCTAATCAGCTCTGCTCAAAAAGAATTCCAGTCAGTGTCATTGGTGAAACTATCTGGGGAAAAGGAGCCTTCCCAGAATGCCTCCACCCTTAGAGCTTATAAAGAGGCAACCTGTGGTCTCTATCTGGTCTACACAGACCTTTCTGACCCACACTGCTTTTTTTAAAAAATTATATTTCCGTAACTAGTGCTATTGATTATCTTTACTGACCTCAGAAAATAAACAGGATCAGACCTGCCTGGCACCTGAGACCACCTGTCCTTCCCCTTCATTCCTTTCTTATGCCAAGATGTGTTATTTATTCATTGACTCTGTAGCATCTACTGAGGTCAGCTGAGCCCTGGGGTAAGCACAGCCAAGCACTCAGAAAAAGATGGAAATACTAGCTTATGCCATCAAGAAACATAAACTGCACCTGAGAATAAAAGTAACAAAAGAATTACAATAAATTTATATTTTAAAGACATCTTTAAAGGACATATATCTTCAAAGGTTAAATCAAAGACAGTTTGCGGGTACAAAATTCCTCCCTTTATAATACACATTTTATTTTATTGGTATATGTTTGCAGTACATAATGATTACATTCTTTGGGGGGAGTTGGTATATGTACAAAACACATCTGAATTCCTCTTGTCATCCCCTTTCCCCACATCTCCTGGTCCCTTTACCTTTCGCAAAAGATCTCATTATTTCCTATTTATCTTTTGCTCTTTAATTATTTATGTTTTGGGCTTGTCATACAAGAGAAACTGTGCAATCTTTAAGCTTATGTTTCTGATTTATTTCATTTAAAATTATGGTCTCAAGATGCATCCATTTTCCTACAAATGTCTGAAGTTTATACTTCTATATAACAGAGTAGTACTCCATTGTGTATAAATACCACATTTTCTTTATCCATTCATTAGTTGATGAGCATATAGATTGCTCTTATGAGCATATAAGAGCATATAAGATTTAGCTCTTATGAGCAATGCTGCTGTAAACATGAGTGTACATATATCACCACAGTATGATGTTTTTAACTCTTTCAAGAAGATACCTAAAAGGTTTCCTTAAAGCCCTACAATTCCTAGACACTTCTTGTAGGAGCTGTCACTTAATGTTCAAATTACCTAGAAGCATTGAACTGTGTATGTTTTGAAAGGTAGAATCCAGGGCTTTGTTGACAAATGGAGTTAAAGCAATGCATTCTTGTACTAGAGTGTCCTGGCCCACACTAGAAGATTCATTCAGCAGCTTTTTGTTATATAACTTTTCAGTGCAAAGAGCTGACATAACAGTCAGGCTGCCGGGTCAGATGTTTGGGCTCTTCTGGAAACCAAATGCATGTGCACTGACAACAAAACTGTACCAGGCAGGGTGGAGCTTGCCTCTGTTCCCATTGCACCCCAGAGCATCCTCTGCTCCATATTTTCTCCTGGCCTAGGGGATTGCATTGCTTGGTTTTCACCATGGCGGTATCATGGATTCTTGCTGTCTTCCTTCTTATCTAAACTCCTTGAGGCTGGGCCAAGCAGACATGTGTGCAGCTGCTTTTATAGAGGACTCAGCAGCTGAACTGGTAACGCTGCAACATGGTGTTAGGGAAAAGAGCTTGGCGTGCAGCCTGCATTTTCAGTCTCCGCTCACTGTGATGATCTTTGAGTAAATGAGAAGTAGGCACAGCAGCAGGGCAGAAGACATTTGGAATCAGCAAAGCTGTCACGCAGAAGATGTCTATATGTCTGGCTTTCAAACTGGAAACAAATTGGTTTCTATGCGCTTGACTGAGCAAATAAGATTCTTCCAAAGTACTTGGCACTTAATAAAATGCAAGTGGAACCTACTGAGTTATCAGCCACATGCTGGCAGGCATATAAACAACAGTACTAAAGCCAGCTTTCCAAACAGTATCAACATTCAGGCATAAATCCTTAATATTCACGAGACTTATAGTCCTGAAAAACCGTATGTCCATGACTTTCATTACTGTAGTTCAAAACTAAGGTACTGAACCCTTGAATACAAGTCTCTGTTTTGCTCCTTACTAATTACATGACTCAGGGCAACTCATCAAAATGCCGTCACCTAAATTTCACTATTGTTAAGGTCTTTTAAACTTCTAAAAGTGCCCTCTTCTTATTTGTATTCCTCGTGGTGTGTGCAGTGCCTCTGGGTTCTTTTGCTTACATTCCGACCAGCTCCACTTTTTCTGCAAAACCAACAAACATGCCTGAAACTAAAATGAACTTAAAAAAAGATCACAACTCCAACTTTTAAGTTATTCTGATACAAGACAATCCAGTTTAGCAAAATGGTTAGGAGGATGGTAGTTGAGTCCTAGCGGAGTGGTATTCAGTGCCTGGCAGACCTGGATAGCTGGTGCTATTGCTGACAGTTACTATCTCTGTGCCTGTGGACAAATTACACTACTTAACCACAGGAAGGCCGGTCTCTCGTCTGTACCTCCCTGGGCTGTGGGAGGTGGAAATGACATCAGACATGTACAGCATTTAGCACTGGGCCAGACATACAATAAGGGAACAATTAACCACCAGTTACTATAATCTTGGCAAACAGGACCTCTAAATTGGTTTCTTGACAGAGTGACAGAGACTTGCAACATTTACTTAACTTTGAAAGAGTCCCATATGCCTGTTCTCCAACAAAGCATTACAATTTAAGATCCACTTTCACAAATATTGCATTTTCTTCCCCTGACTCTTAGTCTATTTCCATTTTCTGTGTGCTGCATAGCATTATTCCAAGCTCCAATTTTTATGCACACAAGGGTGATAAAAATAAAAGAAAGTAGAGCATCGACCTCTAGATAATCACACTTAAGCATATCTCAAAGCAGTTAGCTATAATTAATTAGTTGGGTTTTTTTCCTTGGCAGGGCTATTGTAAATAATGGTGTTTCAACTTTATAAGGATTTTATTCATATGTTTTAAATGAACATATATTATGCCAGTGTGAAATTAATATACAGGTCTCTCTTCTATCCAGAGGGAAATGAATACTGCATTAAAGGGCTAATATCAGCTCAAGCAGGTCATGCCTGACAACTGGCTACTGCTAAACAAGACTTGCAAGACTTGAATTCACTGCTAAGTACAACTAATTATTCTTACAATACACCTACTATGCTAACAGAAGCAGCCATGCCACTGAACTAAAGTATTGTTTTCCTCTTTGGGGCAGAAGACAAAAGAACAGCCCCAGACATTACATAATTGCACACTGCAGTGTTCAGCACCGGCTGTCAATGCTATAAGGTGGTGGTTTCCAAAAATATGAGGCACCCTGGACTCTAAAGAAATCCTTCCAGGGGATTCCAAAGTATGAAACAGACCCAAAAAGAATTGAGTTGATTGAAGAGGAACTAAAGAACTACTCCCTGTGGCTCCTTCTGGCAGTTGTATTAAAGCACTTGAACCTAGAAAATGGGTAAGATTTGGATGGACAAAGAGGAAGGAATTAGGCATTCTAGGTAGGATGATTTGTAAGAATAAAGGTAGGAAGGTGGAAATTTAGAGTGAGAAGTAATAATATGCCCTCTTCATAAACAGCAAATGAGAATTGGTCAGTAAGGAAATGGGACAGGAAACACGTGCGGTTATTTATTGTTTCCAACCTGGTCTAGTTTTTGAATATTCTAACCCTGATGAAATAGTTACCAAATGTTCTAAATCAAGGCAGATAGGAAGCCTAAGGTCAGTGGTCATGTAATGGGTCCTGTCATTATTCTTCATTTCAGAGTCATTTCAAGTTGTCGTGAGAGGAAATGGCTTCCGACATGCCCGAAACGTGGACAGAGTCCTCTGCAGCTTCAAGATCAATGACTCAGTCACACTCAGTAAGTCCTTGTGGAATTAATGGGTTTCCTCAGCCTGCCTGGAGGTCCAGAGCATCTCCAGCCTGTCTTCCGGAAAGGCACACACAGGGAATTCCCACAAAGGTTTTCCCTGGTGGAAAGGTCTCCAGCAAAGACACAGCTAGCCCTATGGTGCTGTGATTCCAATCAGAGGTGCTCCTCTGGGTGGGTCCAGCCCTGAGGATGCCCAGCTTGTACAACAGGGCAAGGCTGGTATGAATTCCAATAACCCTCCTATCTTTCATGGTCACAAGCAGTAGCCCTGTGCTAGCCCTCAGGAGGCAGCAAGGAGCTTGTTTCATCATCCCCTGCTGACTGTCCACCAAGTCGGCTCTGCAGGGGCTGATTAGTTAGGGGTTTTAGAGCTTGAGGTTTCCTAAAGTACTGGAGACTCTCAAGAGTAAGAATGAGAAAGAGATGGTCTAAATGTACTAATCATGGACAAACCCAAAGCCAAACTATTAGGCTTGCATGTGTAGATTCTGGAACTTTCTTTTCAATCTGGATGATTCTTGCTTGGAGCAGCCAAGAAACTCTCATCATGGTGAATACCTTACATAAAATACAGGAATATGGAAGTAAAACTAAGCGCATTGCATGAGAAAAATGAATTATCATAATGTTGGAACGTCCTGGAGCCATTTGCAGCAGGCAAGTTCCTAACTGAAAGACGTGTGTGATTCATGAGGCTGTCCAGGCGAGGTGGGAAGGGTTGAGTTTAAGAGGACAGATGCCAGAAGCCCTGGTTATTATTTGCATCTGGCATTCATCACACGGACAATTATTGACTCCATGTCTGCATTAATAAACAATAGCCTCGATGGACTGTATTTTCCATAGTGCTCTGCAGTCACTGTGATTTGTGTTTTTACCACAGCACTCCTACCATGTAGAAGGAGCAAGGATGATACAAATTCACACACACACTTCCATCCTCCTTAGAGCCCAAGGAGGAGGGTCTGATGCTGTTTTTAAAGAATAATTGAGTGTGGGGCTTTTTCCTCCTTGACATCTTAAAATCTACTTGAATATCTAAAGAGAGATAGGCAGTGGCTTCCCCATAAACATCTGGAATTCCTGGCCTTAGAATAATATTGAATACTGGACACATCCAGTTAGTTTTCTTAAAATTTGGAAATGTTCTCATATCCAAAAGGTGCGTGCTGTGTTTGAAAACATTTTGAAATGTCCCTGCGTAGTCTCAGTGTGAACGTTGAATGCTTGCTCCCTACAGAATTCTTTTTTTCCTCCTTTTCCTCCTTTCTTCTCCTGAAGCAAAATCCCAAGTCTAATCAGAAACTCCTGAGGGCTTGATTTGCTTCCCAGGTAGATTTCAAACCCAGCCTGTGTGAAGATAGATGGAAATGGGGGTGGAGGGAAAGAGCCAACCCCACAGGGGTTGCCAGAAGGATTATGTAAGGCCCTATAACACAGAGCTGGACTGTGGATTTGTAGAGTGATGTCTTACAGTTCTATATTCCAAACTTTCTGTGAAATTTTCTTAGAAAACCAGCTCATCCTCTTTCTCCCTCTTCTCTTCCTTTCCTAATATACTCTTGCCAACACATGTGCAGTGTCACCAGCTCATTGATACTCAAAAGTAAATAAAGGCTCTGGGTAGAGAGCTGGCTTCAACCACAAGCCTAACTATGATCCCGGCACAGTTCTGTTCAGGAAGGACCGACGCAATGAATTCATCCTACTGTGTGCTGCACACAGCCCTCTTCAATGCTAAAAATAGTTATTAAAAATATTCTAAAAGAGGGGTAAGCTAGAGTTTGAGGAAAACTCTTAACCTTCATTTGTTAATTCACTTATTCAATTTCCATTCAGTAAATAATATGACTAAGAATTCAAGGATAACAGAAATTTGTAAATAAATTTTAAAATGTAGCATATTTACAGTTCCATTTTTCTTATCAACCTGATGGATAGATCAGTCTTTGTTGATGCTTTCCTGCAAAATAAAACATATTTAGATTCTATTATCCTTCCCAGTTTTCTTTCCTACCTGCACCCCAAGTCTTAAGATGTTGTCTGTTTTCATTTTTATGTTTCTTTTCTCAAGACTTCTTCTAAATGTTGTATTATGTTTTGTAGCATATATATATGCAGTTATTAATCAGAAAAAGACTAATTGAGAATCTAATAATGAAGCTAAGGCTGTTATGGCTGTAGCTACTTCAAACATGATATGGGTCTGAGCTATAGAGAACAATATATATGTATAAAATATATATATATAATACCTTTTTAAAAGACTATGAGAAGCCTTACAGATTTATCACACTACCATACAAGTGAAATGCCAATATATTAGTGTTCAAAATTGAAACTGACCAGGTATGATGGCGCATGCCTATAACCCCAGCACTCTGACAGGCTAAGGCAGGAGGATCCCAAGTTCAAACCTGGATAACTTGGTGACTTACTGAGACACTGTCTCAAAAATAAAAAATAAAAGGGCTGAGGATGTAGCTCAGTATAAAGTCCCTGGGTTTAATCCCCAGTAACAGTTGAGGAAGGGGAGAATAAAAATTGTTTAGAAATATTCTGATGAGGAATATAACCAAAAAACCAAAACCATAGGTTTGTACCTACTCTTGTCCTGCTTTCCTGGCCTTGGTTTTAAAGTAAAATCAACAAGTAAACCACTTAGAAATTACAGCAATTTCTGAACGTATGGTCACTATAACAAATTCAGAAATTCTGTATAAAATATGATTTTAAAAATTGTAACATGTGGCCTTCCTCAAAGGAAAGAAGGGGCAACCCCAACAGCAAAAGAATGGAAATCTAGCAGTAGGTAAAGCCATGGAGCTCCGGGCCAGGGAGTCTGTAGGCTGAGATCCTGACGTTGATGCAGATGCAGGAGCCCGGATCTCTGGTCGTGAGGTGCAAGGCATTGGGATTGCAAGAGCAGAGATTCCTGCAGAAATCACACTCCAGAGGGCTACAGCACCCATTAGTTAAATGTAGCAAGGGAACAAAGTCCATGGGCAGGATGATTTAATGCTGCCCACGTGATATAGAAGCACCATGTCAAGAATCCAACCCCCAAATGTGTCTGTGACCACCCTGAGCCTGTGACCCTGCAGAGGCCACACGTACCCACCCTGTGGACACTTTCCACACCTTCCACACAGCCCAGGCCCGTAGCACTTACAGCCAACAACCCCATTCGAAGACAAGCTCATAGCACAAGTGACAGATCACACAAAGGTGAATGAAATAAACAGCAAAACAATCAAGCAGGGAAGATTAGAGCCCAGTTAGAAAAAGAATGTAAAATAAACACTTTTACACTATGTAAAGAAGTCAGACAGACTTAGGGGAAGAACACTCAACGATGACAGATTAGAGGAAGTATGCTCACTAAAGTACAACTTCCTTTTTTTGTTTAGTTTTGCTTTGGTTTGGTTTGGTTTGTTTTTGGGACAGGGTCTCTCTGTGTAGTGACTAAAGCACCAAATCCAGATTTTTCTTCACCCAAGTTTTACCAAAGTTTACAGGACAAATTACCCAAAGCTGTACATGTTTCTACACCCTTTTTTCAGAAAAGAAACAAAGAAAAGGCTTTTTAATTCATTTTGTGATAATAATATAATCTTAATTTTTAAAAAATGGACAAGAGCACTAGAAGTAGAAAATATCTGAGATTAAGTTTGCTGATGACAAACATCTAAGTAAAATGTAGGCAAACACAATTCAGCAGTGCATTTAAAAGGAACCAAGATAACTAAGACAATTTCGAATAATGGGTAGGAGTTTACCTCTCACATACCAAAGCTTACTGATGTCAAGAAGGAATATTAAAATTCATTATCTAGTCCAAAAGTTTAAATAATTGTAGAAAACTAAGACTAGGATAAGACTTCTTTAACATAATAAAAATATGTATTGATGTTTGGGCTCAACACTTCACATTATTGTAATACATCACTATTTGGAAGTATTCACCTTAAAATTAGAAAGGAAATACCAGGATAACTCATTTCACCACTCTTAGGGAATACTGATCTGAAAGTTCTAGCAACACTATCCATAGAAACTCTCAGATGATGGAAATGTTCTAAAACGCTAGTGAACACGGTAGCCACGAGTCACAGGTGGCTGATGTGCACTTGAAACCTGGCTAGTGTGATCGAAGAGTTCAGTTTCTAATTTCATTTGATTTTGACTGACTTAAGTGTACATAGCTGTATGTGGCTGGTGATGAGCATATTTTAGACAATGCCATGAGCATTATAATAACACAAGAGAACTGACGAAAACAATCAGTACTTTAAAATTTGTACCTTTCTAGAAAACTCGAGTTGGCGGAACTGCCAGACTAATAAGAGTACAGTAAGTCCCTGTGTTGAGAACTTTCACAGATACCAACGGACCTTGCATTAGGAATATGTGTAAATGTGAACATATCATGGAAGCAGCGCCCATTTTTGCCAGACAGTGTCACAGTTGTGCAGCTGTGTGTTTACTGTACAGTGCAATAGTGTCCATTAGTACAGTGCTCGGAGCCCAGGATGTCCAAAGCAGTGCTGATGCAGAGAGGACTGCTAGGAAGCGCAAAGCAGTCTACGTCGTAGATTTGTACCAGACATGTATGAGACTCGCTTTGTCAGGCTTATGAAAGGATCTGACTTATGAGCATTCTCCTGGAACAGAACTCATTCATAAAGCGAAGGCTTACTGTATTCTTAAAGTGGGTGTTCTCGAAATAAATGCCGCAGTGATCACAATCAATAGCATTTCCAAAATTCAACCATGACCAGTTAGAAAGCATCACAAGAAAAATATAGCAACAACAAATAAAATCTAGTAAGAATTAATTGCAACAAATATGTATGGACATGTAAGAAGGAAATCACAAAGCTTTGTGAGAGATATAAAGAAAGAGCAGTGTGTTTATTAATGCCATTGCACAGCCTCTGGAGCAGGGTGACCAAGGGAAAGAGTCCTCGCTCTGTCCTCTCCAGCTG